GGAAGAAGACGGTCACACGCACCAGTGGACTGTTTATGTCAAGCCCGACAGAAACGAGGGGGGGGGGTCGGGGGGGGGCAATGGGGGTGGCCCCGGTCTCGTCAGGGGCGGCAGAAGGATGTCACCGCGGGTGTCCTGTGAGGGCCCCTCGGCAGCAACAGGGGGCGAGGGATTCGGGGAAAGGGCAGAAGGCAGGTCCGTCTCCAAAAACAAAAAAAAAAAGAGAGGGAAGACACTCTTCCTCCTGTGTTTTTGGAGTGATCTTTCCAGGCCAGGAACACGGGGACAAAATACTGCTGGAGTTTGCCATCTTATTTGCCTACTGCTTTTAAAGGCGGCTGTGTCAGAAGAAATGATAGGCAGGCAGGATGGGTAAATAAAGAGCAGTTTGGTGTGCTGTGTGAATAATCAGAAATTACATTTCTGTTTTAGGATATGTCTGCCTATGTGAAAAAAATTCAATTCAAGCTGCATGAAAGCTACGGAAATCCTTTAAGAGGTGGGGTTTGCATTTGGGCATTTGTCCCTAAAAGTGGGATTTGGATTAGTTCCACTGAGGCTTTATCACCTGTATTAACGCTTCTGTTTCCTACTGCAGTTGTTACCAAACCACCGTATGAAATCACCGAAACAGGCTGGGGTGAATTTGAAATAATCATTAAGATATTTTTCATTGATCCAAACGAAAGACCTGTAAGTACATTGACCTTGTAACAACATTTAATTATGGTGACCTCAGGCTGTGCTGTAGACTATTGCTGGTGAAAATAAGTCCCGTCAGCCATGGAAGCCTGGTTTTGTAGGAAATGTATTTAACAGTTGGCCATGTTTTCCTGTTTCTCTGCTTTACTACCAGCATCCGTGATGGCTTTTCCTGCGTTTGGTTTCTCTGATGTTTATTTACTAGTATGTGACCACATGTTGCATCTTAACTGGCCTGAGCACATACTGAGGATTTCTCTTTTATGTGGCTTCATAGTTATAGAATATTAGAATATTTTAATTATCTCTTTTTTTTTTTTTTTCTATCATTGTTAGTCAAAAAGGGCAAAGGTACTATGGTAGCATTGGTCCCTTTCCTAGGAAAACCCGGTTAAGACACTTTTGTCATTGAATAAAGCATTGGAATGAATTTCTTCCCATCCTGTGTTTTAGACATACCTTGTGGGTAGGTTTGTCCAGGTTTTAGGTAGGAAACTTGACTGATGGATTTTATTGGCAGGGGGTGTTTATTTCTGGAAAGAATGAGTTCCCTCTGTTGCGTGAACTACAGCAATCCTTTTGCTTTAGCCATTTTTTTTGCCAAATGAGGTGAAAACTGAATCTGGTCAGCGGTTCCTCAGGGCCAGGCAGAGGGCTCCCAATCCTCTCCAGCTCCTGCCATTTGTAGTGCAGTTATGGAAAAATAACTCCACAAGAGATAAATGGCAGTGGAAAGCTCTTCACAGGCTCCCCTATTGTTTTTCCTTCACAAGAAGGGATAGGAAGGTCACAGAAAGCACTTTCTAACTGATCAATTGGCAAAGTCAGCTTGAACTAAATCACCTCAATGTTTATGAGAAGGTCTTAGTAGTTTTTATACACCAATCCTAAACCACCTGCCTAGACCTTAAAGTATCAGGAAGCCGTTGCATAGTTGCTGTGTTTAACACTGATTGTTAAATTTAAGTAATTCTACTGAAGTTATATGATTATTTTTTTTTGCATTCCTGAAAGATTTTTAAATCCTGTATGGTTGTTTAGTGAGAACAAATACCGCTTGTTTGTATCTCGAAGACTTGTATTTCCCTACAGTTGTCAAGCTAAGAAAATTCTGTCTTTGTACAGGTAACCTTGTATCACTTGCTGAAGCTTTTCCAATCTGATACCAATGCCATCCTGGGAAAGAAAACTGTGGTTTCTGAATTCTATGATGAAATGGTATGTAAATTTTTAATGTAATCCTCACGTTAATTTTGAAGAGTATTAGTGATTCCGTGTATTTTTCTCCTTTGTTAGATATTTCAAGATCCTACTGCAATGATGCAGCAGCTGCTAACAACGTCTCGTCAGCTAACGCTAGGTGCTTATAAGCATGAAACAGAGTGTAAGTTGAAAATTAAATTATTTTAATTTTAGAAATAAACAATAGTTGGTTTTGCTTTTAGTGTTTTGGGGTTGTTATTTTTCCCTCCCGGGATTTAGCAGTCCAATGGATCTGGATGCTGCTAAAAAGTGGTATTTTTGCAGTAAATTACCTTCAGCTTTTGTGAAGATACTAATACTAATTTGAAAAAGTTTAAGAATTTTCTGATGTGTATGCCTGCTGAAAAAAAAAGGAATTAAGAATTACTTGGTAGGAAGTGTGATGGCACAATCTGTGTCATCTTAAAGTCTTTGAACTGAGTTAAAACAGGTTAAATTAAGGCCGGTGTATTTGTGATAAAGTTGTGTTCAGATCATTGGGATGTTAACTACAAGCAAAGATCACATTTTAAGCACTGAAATACAGAACAGTTAGTACAGGTTTAGTCAAAGCAGCAGCCCTTTTGGGATAGCGTCTAAAAGTTTTTCCTGTCTTTTCCCCTTCTGTCTAATTCTTTAACTGTAGGTCATTTCATGACTTACTTCTTCAGTATAGCTTAATGTTCTTTGCGTCTTTATCTAATCTCTCTTTAAATATAAACCAGAGAATTAAATAAAAGACATTGATTGATAAAATAGAATGCATTTAGTGATGGTTCCTCTTCTGATCTTCTGAATTCCGTCTCTTTATCTTCTTCTCTCAGAAAGCAGATGGAATATTTATTGATCCCAAATGCTACCATGTTAGTTACAAACTGTAATGCTGTCGTAGTCCAGCTCCCCTGGCCTTTGGCTTATCTGTGTATTCCCCTGATGACAAATGTCAGGTGTTTTTAGACAGTGAATACCTGGAGCTCAGAGTGGTCTCTGTGAATTCGAAGCTGTACAAAGTTGGGCTTCCAATTTGCCTTCTCTCTGTTCGGGTGCGTGGACTTGGGAGCCGCTTCTATTTTCTGCCTCAGTTCAGCCAGTCTTGAGGTGGATTTTTGTTATACTGCACGTTGTTACACTTTACGTGTAGAAAATGTTTAGTAATTTGAATCATAAAAAAATTCTAGTCCAAATTTAAACTTCTCTCAAAATTCCTAGATGTGTCTCCTGGGTATAGATAAAATTTTTTGTGTTTTTTTAATGTTTATTTCCTTAAAATGTGCTACTGAAAGAGGTAAAAATGAAGACTTTTTTTTTGCCACTGGCCACAATTATGTAATATATGGGATATGAAGGGATATCGATGGCCTCCATTGATTTGCTGGCTTTACCAGCCTTGTTCAAAAACTTGTGAACAAATTAAAAGCAATAATTAGGGCATATCAATAAACCAGATTGAGCTGCCCCACTGTCAGGTATTCATAAGAGCGAAGGCAGCACCACTAAATTTTTTAGATTCATAGAATTAAACTCTGGTGAGATGGAGCATAGAAAGTGTTTGCAGTCCATGGAAGAGGAACCACAGAACAGTTGAGGTGTGAAGGCATCTCTGGAGCTCATCTTGTCCCAATCCCTGTTCAAGAATGGGCCATCTAGAGCTGGTTGCTCAGGACCATGTCCAGGTCGCTTCTGAATACCTCTATAGATAGAGACTCCCCAACCTCCCTGGGCAACCAGTGCCAGTGCTTGGTCACCCTCACGGTACAAAGAAGTTCCCTGATGTTCAGAGGGAACCTCCTGTGTTTGAGTTTGTGCCCACGGCCTCACGCGCCATCACTGGGCGCCACATACAAATTACTTGTAATTCTCCGTAATCCAGTTTATTTGCTGTCGCCACATCAGGAGTTTTTTTTCTCCCACTGAAAGAACTCTGGGAAATGATTTAGTAAATTATGTAATTCCAGCCACAAAACTGATGACTTGAATGAGGCCACAAAACAACCTTTCTTTTCTTCTTTAATTCCAGGTTTTTACTTGGATGTTATTTTGACTGCAGTCATTGAATCTCTACGGCTAACAGTAATAGATTGTTTTTTTCAGGACACACACCATCCAAATTACTGCTGCAATTTAAAAAAAAATTACAACTTTTCATGGTACTTACAATATTTATTTTTCTTTCTCACCACCACAGTTGCAGATCTTGAAGTAAAAACCAGGGAAAAACTGGAAGCTGCCAAAAAGAAAACTAGTTTTGAAATTGCTGAGCTTAAAGAAAGACTAAAAGCAAGTCGGGAAACCATCAACTGTTTAAAGAACGAAATCAGAAAGCTTGAAGAAGATGATCAGTCTAAAGATATGTGACCAATGCTGACTTGATAAAGAACCTGTACTGAAAACAGAAGGACTTCACTCATGGAATTGTAGGTGTTCTCCTCAGTTCTGTAACAGACTGTGAATTTCACTTGCAAATGATTGAAGTAAGTGGAGATTGAGTTCATAAATGGAAGAAAAAAGAAAGAATATATCCTTGTTTTATAGTTAAGATCTGTGGGTACTTAACAACTTATTTCAAGTAGAAGGAGTCTTAGAGACAAGACTACTTTTTTTTTTTTTTTTTTTTTTGTAAAGAGCTGCTTTGAGTGGTATATGAAAACTTTGTATTAAGTCTTGTATTAGTTCAATGTGATTTTACAAAATGATGATGTTTACTTTTTTTACTTGCTTTTTCTACTGGCTGTTTAGTGGTGCATCTTTAAAGTTGAAAATAAAATATGCGGGTTTTTATTTTAATATTTTTTGTATATGCAAGTTGCTCAAATCTGGTTACAGTGTTTTCTGCCTGTCTGTCTGTTATTAGCACAGTGAAAAAAACTTTCTGAAAACAGGATTTTAAATAACTTGTATACCTACAGATAAGAGTTTCTATCCTGTCTGCTTTAACACTTCTAAATGCATCAATTACACAAGTTATGCTCAGAAGCAGGAAATTATTCCGCTCCTGTTTTGTAGAAGTTTCTTCAATATTTGTACTGTACTGTGTTCAGTTCATCAGACATTGTCTCTGTTCCTCCTTCCTCCTCACCCTGTTCCCCGGCTCCAGTGTGGGATCTCTGCCACCGGAGACAGTCCTCCACAAACTCCCATGTGGGCCCTTCCCATGAGCTGCAGGTGGGTATCTGCTCCACCATTAAGCTCCGTGGGCTGCAGGGGGACAGCCTTCCTCACCATGGTCTTCACCACAGGCTGCAGGGGAATCTCTGCTCCAGGACCTGGAGCACCTGCTTCACTGACCTTGGTGCCTGCAACGTCGTTGCTCTCACTTATTCTCATTCCTCTCTCCAGCTGCAATTGCTGTTGCACAGGTTTTTTTCCTCCTTCTCATGGACATTATCACAGAGGGGCTACCACTGTCACTGATGGGCTCAGCCTTGGCCAGCAGCAGGTCCATCTTTGGAGCCAGCTGACAACAGCTCTGTTGGACATGGGGGAAGCTTCTATCACCTTCTCATAGATGCCACCCCTCTAGCCTCTCTCCAGCTGCAATTGCTGTTGCACAGGTTTTTTTCCTCCTTCTCATGGACATTATCACAGAGGGGCTACCACTGTCACTGATGGGCTCAGCCTTGGCCAGCAGCAGGTCCATCTTTGGAGCCAGCTGACAACAGCTCTGTTGGACATGGGGGAAGCTTCTATCACCTTCTCATAGATGCCACCCCTCTAGCCCCCACTACCAAAACCTTGCCATGCAAACCCAGTACGTATTCTCAAGTGACTAGCAACTGTTCCCCCTGAAATATCAGTACGTGGTCTTTTGCCTGTAACACCTCCTGTCTCCTTTGTTGTTTGTTTTTTTTTTTTTCTTTTGTAGAGGTAAAAGCCTGATAGAGATGGTGCTGCCTCAGGTTTTGAAAAGGCTTGGGCATCTTTTCCACCTCTCCAAGATACTGTGTTGCAGTCAACTGTACTATAGAGGAACACTCAACATCTCCTCTCCCATAGAAAACAATGTTACCAAGGCTTTGAGAACAGAGCGCTCATTTCTTCATATTTGAAACAATTTATGATTGGCTTTTACCATGGCTCCCCAAAGATTTAGAACTGGAACTTAGAACAGTTTCAACACTCAATATGTAGACTTAAGTTTTCATTAAGAAAAGTAACTGTTAAAATATTACATCTACGCATAGGTTGAGGAACAGCTTGTACCAGTGGTGTCTTTTGTACCAGATCCTTCCTAGCACTGCAGCCTATCCACATTTTTCTGGCTTCCCTAACTGGTTTGGTTTATTCATTCAGTAGTCAATTGCCTTTTAAGCACGAAATGAAGAAGAATGTGCTAGACGATTTGAATACAGCAAAACGTGGCATTTTCAGAGCTGTGTATTGAAAATAAGACTCACATGGATCACTAAACTACAGATTGTAAGGCTGAAAGAACACATTTCAGTGAAAAGTTAAAAAAACCTATATATATAATTTTCTTTTATGAAGCCTTATTATTCAAAGTGCTTATTTGGCTGCTTCCTTGTCTTTGATGATCATCAGTAGCAGATTTTTAAGGAAAAATATAGGTTGAGCACAAAGTGAATCCTTCCAAGTATATTCTCTTAGTTTATTGCATATTTATTCCATTTTTAAGGTCCATTTGTGCGTACTGAAAGAAAAATGGGAATGGCAAGCACAGTTTTGGTGATACTAGGTTGTATGCAGCAATATTATCTTCATATTTGTCAGTTAAAATACTAATGTAGAATAACTCAGATGGAGTTAATATGTTTAAGATTAAATATGTTCTGGAAGAACTGTGACGAAAAAGAACAGAGCTGCTGCAACGGGGCTTGAACAGACCAAAAAAGAACAGAGCGGTACCTTTTGAATCCAATGCTTTTTGTAGGAGCCTAAAGTATTCTTTTTGCTTACATTTTTAGTAACATGCAATAACCAGTCGAGTATTCAACTTTACAGAAGCAACGATCCTGGCTCCACTGTTAGTAGTCATCAACATGCCAGACCAATGATACAATTCTTGTTCGTGATTAGTGGTGGATTTTTTTCCCCCTAGTTTTTCTTTCAACTTCTTGTATTTTTTTTCCACTCCTTTCTGCTCTTTGTAAAGACCATCCAAGAGTTGTTTAGATTCCCCTGTTAGCACTAAGGCAAGAAAATAGTCCTAGCATCTGTCAGTGCTGAGCAGCTACTGCTGATAGACACCAGGAAAAGTATCTTCTGCTTTGCGAAGGTCCTTACTGTGTTCTGTGTTTTCATTAGAAAGTGCTTTCTTCAGATGTTAAGAAAGCAATTGAGCCCTGTATTAGGCAGTAATTAAACTCTGGAAAAAGTTCATGAGAATTGACTGGGTTAGAATTTTGGCTTGAAAATAAACATGGAAAACCTCGACTTTCCTGCATTTGAGAAGCTGTCACGACCTTCTCTACAGGCAACTGCATGGCTCTCAATGAATCCATAGGAATCCACTGGTGCCCAGTGACAGGACAAGAGGAAATGGGCACAAACTTGTACGTAAGTAGTTCCATCTAAATATGAGCAGGAACCTCTTCACTTTGAGCCTGCCCAGGGAGCTGGTGGAGTCTCTGTCTCTGGAGACATTCGAAACCACCTGGACACGTTCCTGTGCAACCTGCTCTAGGTGGACCTGCTTTGGCAGGGGGGTTGGACTAGATGGTCTCCAGAGGTCCCTTCCAACCCCATATCATTCTGTGATTCTGCGTTTGGGCTCACGTGTGCGGCCGTTAGGAGTTGTCGCTATAGCGTGTGTACACAGGGAACGTACAGTATTGGGCTGACTTTCTATCCTGTATCCTTTCCAGAGTTACTAGAACTGAAATGGGGGTGGGGGAGCACATAGGGATGTGGCTGCATCTGACCTCCACTGCCTCGAAGAAAAAGTAAAAAGCCAAACACTAGGCTCCGCTTTATTTTGGCAGCCCTAAGGAAGATGTGATTCCAGACAAATAGTTACGGTTTGTGCTTGCCAGGGGTGCTAACTGAAATGCCAGCTATTTATATTGCTGAGACTGACTTTAGACTGTGGTTTCATCCCGAGTTATAACTGTGAAACACAGATGTATTTACATTTGCTTTGCAGGGCAGGGGGGAAAAATATCCATCGTTGTGCTGTAGGCAGAGTTTGGTATCACTGAATTGCACAGTAATGTCCAATTTGTCCAACTACACTGAAGCTTTAGGCTCCCCATGAAGTAACTCTTTGGTAGGTAAAGATAAAACACGTTTATCAGTTTATATGCTTATATATTATGGTTTATCTCAGCTTATGTGCTCACTGTTATCAATTTTACCAATGAGGAATGTTTACTTCAGGTGCCAAATGTGCAAAACTGATCGTTACCATCATTGCTGCTTCCACTATAAAGACTTTGGGGTTTTAAGTATTTTAGCTAAGACGCTTTAATACTCATCACAGTAATGTCAGACACTGACTGCTACTGACTTACTACCCAGCATTATTTAGCACTAGTCCTTTTTTTTACCTAGCTCCACCTCATACAACTTCTTTCTTCCCTTTGGGTTTGGCACGCGGTAGTTTCTAGTTAGACTCCGAAACTGTACAAGGCTGTGCCCAGGAGGTGTCTCCTCACAGGTGCCATTATCTGACAGGAGAGGTGGAAATACCCTTAATTCAAAGATTTGCTCGAGAATTTCTGTGGTTAGTAGAGATGGGACCAGAAGGAACATTAAGTCACCCTGTTCCTTTTCTTTCCAGATGGATGCTGGTAATAACACCAACCTAAACACACTTTTGCTGCTTATGCATCTAATCCCTACTAAATACATCAATGATTGTTTGCTTCTTAATGGGAATACAGATTTAAGAGCATTTCAGGTTGTTTTCAGACATCAGGTGTCTGTTTTTCAAACACCAGGTGGCAGGTGAGTCCAAAACATTCTCCAGTCTCAACTGCATTTTAATTACTGGGATTTTGGCAGATCTGCGGGCGCTTTGGTTGATCGGGTTTGCTCCGAGACTTGATCATCTGATTAGACAACGTGTGTGTGTTTCTGCAGAAGGTGGCCAAATTATCCCTTGCACGTTATGAAACTGTTCAGCAGCCTCAGGAGCTGTGTGTGCTGTGTGCTGTGCCGGGAAGCGAAAACAAAAGGTGTGAAAGTTTGTTTGCAATTTTTCTTTATTTGGCAAGGGAAGCAGCTTTCCAAATACAGATCTCTGAGGTTGTTTTTAGTTTTGGTTGTGTTTTTTTTTCTTTTTCAGGCCAAGATTGTGTGACAATACGAATAACCAAACATAACTTAGGTACTCTACTGGACTGCAATTGCTTGCGCTCAACTGCAGGTGCAACATGACAGGATCTTCCCCAAGTAAAAGTGATTACTTTTTTAAACTTCATGTTAATAAATAAGCTTCTTTGACTACTTACCGCTTAATAAATACTACAAATGAACCTTTGGCTTCCAAGTATGTCTAACCTTTTAATTTCCCTGAATACAGCAGGGAAGAACCGCTTAACCTAAGGGGAAGAAGAGAGAATTAGGTTGGTAAAAAAAGAATAGCAACAAGGAGAAATTCCAGTTACATACGCATCGTGATATAATTAGTTGGGATTTATTTTAATGTTAATTTATGATGCATTTATACTATTTCCTTTTTTAAATGTTTTAAACTAGAACATGAAATTATGTAAGTTTCTAGTGAAAGTCTTGCCTATGCAAATAGCTAATACAAATCCAAAATTAAAATTCAATTTTCAATTTTCATGGGAAAAACCTCTTGAATGGATAGTGATTAGGCCACA